GAAACTCCGGAAGAAGTTCAGGTACCTGAAAATAAAGAAAGTGATGAGATCTCAACAAGTTATTTCACTTGCGAACCGATATAAAATGATCGTCGACGATATATTTAATACAATATAGTGCACAATATTGTAAAAGATTGTGAGGATCGGACCTGTAGTATAGACACCTGAAGATGTCATGCCATCTAAATGCACGACATAACCTATATGACTCATTTGATTAAGTCTATATGAAGATCCCTGAAGGATTTAAAATGCCCAAAGCATATAGTTCAAAGCATCGTGAAATGCGTTCAATCAGAGTACAAAGATCTTTGTACGGTTTAAATCAATCTGGGCGCATGTGATATAATTGCCTCACTGAATTGATGAATGGAGGTTATGTAAATGAAGGCATTTGTCCATGCATTTTTACAAAGAACACAACATCATAGCTTGTTATACTTGTTGTTTATGTTAACGGCATAAATATCATAGGAACTCCAGAAGAGCTCCAAAGGGAAAAACTTTATCTTAGTCTGTAAATTGAATATTTAGCAGACGAGATCTTTATCCATCAATCTGTCTATACAAAAAAGGTCTTAGAAATACTTTTACATGGACAAAGCGCACCCATTAAGTACACCAATTGGATGTTCGATCACTTGAAGTGAATAAGGATCCGTTCTGACCTCCAGAAGAGGATGAGGAACTCCTTGGTCCTGAAATACTCTATCTCAGTGCAATTGATGCACTTATGTATCTTGTTAATGCTACAAGGTCTGACATAACATTTTCTGTTAATTTACTAGCAAGATATAGCTCTTCTCCTACACGGAGATATTGGAATGGGATTAAGCATATATTGTGATATTTAAAAGGGAACTCTTGATATGAGTTTGTTTTATGCCAACAAAGGTAGTGCAGATCTTGTTGGTTATGCAGATGCAGGTTATTTATCCGATTCCCATAAAGTTCGATCTCAAATCGGGTATGTATTTATATGTGGAGGTATTGTCATATCATGGCGCTTCACAAAGCAATCTATTGCTGCTACTTCTTCAAATCATGCTGAGATAATAGTTATTCATGAAGTAAGTAGGGAATGCATATGGTTGAGATCAATGATTCATTTTATTCGAGAAAAATATGGGTTGAAATGTGATAAAAGACCCACAATTTTATACGAAGACAATGTTGCATGCATAACCCAATTGAAGGGAGAATTTATAAAAGGAGATAGAACAAAGTACATTTCACCAAAATTATTCTATACACACGATCTTCCGAAAAATGGTGATATTGATGTGCAACAAATCTGTTCAAGTGACAATCCAGCAGATTTATTCACTAAATCTTTACCAACTTCAATTTTTGAGAAGATGGTATACAAGATTGGAATGCGAAAACTTAAATATTTGAAACAAGGTTTTCATCAGGGGGAGTAAAATACGCGATGTACTCTTTTTTCCTTACTAAAGTTTTTTCCCACAGGGTTTTCCTTATAAGGTTTTTAATGAGGTAGCTAGCAATGCGTATTACTAAATATGTGTACTCTTTTTCCTTCACTAGGATTTTTTCCCACAGGGTTTTTTCCTAGTAAGGTTTTAATGAGGCATATTATCTTTTAATGAACATCCAAGGGGAAGTGTTATGAAAATAATTATATTGTGGATGTTCATTTATTACTCCGCTATAGATAATCTTCCTGAAGAAGATTATCCATTTAGTACTCTGTTGAAGTTTATCTACAAGCAGCTGATGCAGGCAGGTTGCAAGCAGTTCAATGAAATGATTTGCATCAGCTTTTTATTAAACAGGCAGGTTGCAAGCAGCTCATGCAGACAACTTACAAGCAGCTAAAGAAAAGCCTCGCAGCTGCTTTCTGAAAAGCCTCGCAGCTGCTTCCTTTCTTCTATAAATAGAGGAGTTTTCAGTTCATTATGTACATGAATTTGAAGTTGAATAAAATATCAATCTCCCTCTATACTTGTCTTCAATTTTTTTTTTTATAGTCTTTATTTTATAACAAGACTGACTCAATTGAGCAATTTTAAGTACATTTTTGTGTAGTTACTCTTTCATTGAGTGAAACGACAATTGGACAATTCGTTAAATGATATAGGTATAATGAATATATTTTCTGAAGCCATACTGCGAATCTTGCTTCCCACATGCAGCAGAAGCCTCACTAAGAGTAGTGAGTCTGTTTGTCCTCTCTCCAAATATACTCCTCTACTTTTGAAAATGGTCTAAGAATATCCCTCGTTATATTACTGGGTTATCTATATCCCTGCAGTCATACTTTGGGTTCAAATATACCCCTCATTTAAACGGAGGGACACATGTCATCGTCCTGTTGGTCAATTCTAAATATATCCTAATTAATTAAGAAGACTCATTACCCATACCCGAAAAATAATTTATTTTTTGTAAAAACTGAAAAAAAAACTAAATTATATTTTTTTTAGTAAAAACTGAAAAAAGCGAAAATATTTTTTCTCCCAGTTTTTACAAAAAAACTGCTTTAAAAAAACTGAAAAATATTTTCTAAAACAATATTTTTGTAAAACTGAAAAAAAAAATATATATTTGTTTTTCAGTTTTTACAAAAAAACTGCTTTAAAAAAACTGAAAAATATTTTCTAAAACAATATTTTTGTAAAACTGAAAAAAAAAACTGAAAAGTAATTTTATAAAGTAATTAAAAACTGGAAAAAACTAAAATATTTTTAACTAAAAACTGAAAAAAAAAATATATATTTGTTTTTCAGTTTTTACAAAAGCATTGCTAAAGAAAATTGCTTTTTAATTTTTTTTTTCAGTTTTTACAAAAATATTATTTTAGAAAATATTGTTCAGCTTTTTTTAAAGCAGTTTTTTATAAAAACTGGAAGAAAAAAATATTTTCGTTTTTTTAAGTTTTCGTAAAAACAAAATTCAGTTTTTTTCAGTTTTTACAAAAACATTGCTTTAGAAAATTAATTTTCAGCTTTTATTTTTTCAGTTTTTATAAAAATATTATTTTAGAAAATATTTTTCAGTTTTTTCTAAAGCAGGTTTTTTGTAAAAACTGAAAAAAAAATATTTTTATTTTTTTTCAGTTTTTAGTAAAAATAATTTTAGTTTTTACAAAAAAAAAATTGCTTTAAAAAATTATTTTTCGGGTATGGGTAATGAGTCTTTTTAATTAATTAGGAGATATTTAGAATTGACCAACATGACGATGATACGTGTTCCTTCGTTTAAATGAGGAGTATATTTGAACTCAAAGTATGACTGTAGCGGTATAGATAACTCAATAGTATAACGAGAGATATTCTTAGACTATTTTCGAAAGTAAAGGGGTATATTTGGCCCTTTACCGAAAAGAAAATAGTTATACATTTTTCAAAATCTTTACAAGAAAGAAATATAAAGAAATAAAATCCCATTTCTCATCGATAAAATAATTTAAATTTGTATTTGGTGGTACCAACTTATCCTTTTCTTGTTAATTCTTAACCAATATTGTAATTATGGTTCCAAAAAGGATTTTTGACGAAAGGGTAAGCTGGTCAATTTTTACAACTGTCACGAGTTGAGCAGCAGGGTCGGATCGAGGCGTATTAACATGGAGATGAAACTAGAATTAAACTAAGGACACCTAGCTTAACAGATTTGCGATTTCAATATGGCGAAGGTGGAAGTTGCAGAAATGCAGAGCTCCGTCCACGAAAACGATAAGAATGTTTTGGAGTTTATGGATTCAACGGACAGCTATTTAGTTCTTATGAATTCTCTCTCTTCATCACTTCGCCAGGTTACAATTTCTTCCTTTCTTTGTTTTATCCCTCCTTTGTGATTTCACTTATTTTCTCCAAGTAAAAACATCCAAATTCCCTAATTTAGGACCGATCCAGAATTTGGTGTAAATGGATTTGCAGCAATCCTTTGTGTGTGTACCTATAATATGTAACTCATAATGAATATTTAAGTATGATTAAGCTGACAAATTTGTGCAATAATAGCTTTGGATCCAATAAAGTTGAAATAGTATTTACTTTGCATTTGCTTACATGGCAGGGATGGTTTGAGTTGGCGAGTGCTAGGCATTCCATGGGTGCTTCACGTATCAATAGTGCTTTGTTTGACCTCAAATCTCATTCTGCTGCCACTACGTTGCAGTTAAACAATTTGGATGGTAAATCCATACCTTTTTTGCAGCATTTGTGCATTTTACTTGTCGGCACACAAAATTATCTGTATCATGTTCATTCTGTGGTGGAACTTCTCTTCTGCTGGTTTACATAACCGCATTGAAAGTAGTAATCGTATTGTAATGTTTTTGATATGTAGCTGGGCCTGAATTGGAGAAATTGCATTTCAGTTTGTGTAAGTGGGCATCGTCTGAGAGTCCAAAAAGCTCTTCTGAGGAAGCAAAATTTGAGGAGGATAAACTGTTACAGAGGAAATCCAGTAGCCCAAAGGTTCTGAAGCAGGACGGTTCCTCAAATTCTGGTACAGAATGCATGTTTCTGGCTCTTTTAGCACTCATAATGTTTCTTAAATAGTTTAAAGGAGAATAGATACTAAGGCAGTTAACACAGTATAAAGTAAAGCACCTACTAGGTTCTAATAGGTGCTAGACCTGAATTTTCAGCTACTCTTACTGAGGTAGAAGCATGGAAATGTTTCTCTCTCCGTTTTTGTAGTGCAGACTGCATGACAATATTTCCGACCTTGTTCCTTCAGCACCTGATTTGTTAGTGGCATGGAAGTCCAGTTTAAGGAATGCTTCTTCTACACTTGCAGCAAAAGATAATGTAATATATAACTGAATAAAGGACGCATCTTCTATTCCTTTACCTGAATTAAGCATCTATCACAACAAAGATTCTAACTTTCTTTCTTTTACTTTTTCANCCCCAGGAAAAAAGAAACAGAAATCTCCATCTATGAAAACGGGTATGCTAGGATATTCAACCTCTAATTGAGTTAGTTGATCAAATGCATGAATAGTTCTGAAAATGTGGCTTGCCAAAGTCACCTTTCAATGCAAAGACTATGCAGGTACTGACAACATATCTGAATGCTCCATGCCCAATAAGTTTATTTAATATTTAGATAATTCTGTTCAGAATATTGAGTACCATCAGAAAAAAAAATATTGAGTCATTTGCACTTGAGTGTTGCTATCAAATTTTCTTTCTTTTCTTCTGATAGGGATTATCAAATTTTATTTCTGTGACGCGATTTGGAAATGAACATCGATAACCAAACATTTTTTAAACTTTTGTAAACTTGTTTTTAGCTGACATATCTTCCCAATTATATTATCCCCTCTCTTCATTCAAAGTTTCCTGCAATTTTCCTCTGTGTGAATTCATAAAACTGAAATGAAGAAATATTCTATCGAACACTATGAAAGCCATAGCTAGTTTACTTTTGCTTTCTATACATGGATTTCAGCTTTATTATGTTCGTACAATCATTCCACATTGCCTCTTGTACTAATTACAAGTACCACTAGTCTAATTTAGTTTGTGGACATGCAAAATGTAAATTCTTTGTCTCAGCTTAGTTCACAATATTCCAAAAATGACAGAATATTCCATAATTAAGATTCCAAGTCAATAAACATTGTGTTTATTATTTGGCCCTTGATGTGACATGTTTTGAAGAAACTATTCTCTTCTACATGTCATGTTGTCTATCATCTTTTCAAACCATCATTCACTAACTCTAGTGAAATTGTCCATCAACTCTCCTTTGTTTTGATATCCGAGCTAGTAGCCAAAATTGGATAAGTGAAGTGCAAATCTACAAGGTTTGAGTTTTACTTTTCTCAACCCTTTGGTTAAGATCAAGTGTAATAAATCTGCAAAGGTTGGATTTTCAGAGTTCAGCCTAGATATATAATCAAGGATACCTAATTGGATTTCATAATTTTTTGGCAATACCTTTTAACTTTCCCATTTACAGATGTTTTTTGGACTCAGATCAATCTTACTAATCTATTTTCCTGGTTACCTCTCTTTTTATTAATTTTTCATTGAGCATTATTGCATACATCAAATTTAGTGTTACTGTATTTCTTTATTAGGCTCGAAAAGAGCGGCTCAAGTCATTATCCATGTTTGGGATGCTGGTCTCTCCCAAGCTTCGAACTGCCCAATCGTCATTTGAGACAGGTAAATTGCTTTCATACCTCCAGAACCATCAGAAGTACCTTTTTACCTAGGTATACTGGAGATCAAAATGACTTGGAGTGCCAAAAAATCCCGGGCGAAGTTAACCTTTTGAGAGTTTAGAATATTAAACAGAAATGACGTGTGCGTGAGAGACAGGGTGGTGTATGTCTCTCTCTTCTCTAGCCAAATATACTGTATGAACTCTAGAACGGGTGTTTCTAACCATCTACAGGACTCACTGAAATCTGGCATTAACTTTGTGGCTTATCTATGTATGATCCTTCTTTGCCTCATCTTGATAACATGAGTGCCTATATCTTTTGCAGCTCTGGAAACTCTAGTAGAAGTAGCAAATAAACGGGCAGACCTGCTTAATGCTTATGATCAGGTGCGAGAAAAGATGGAGAGCACCACCAAATGACCAAAGGTAGTACTTCTCTTGGTTTCCCTGGTTCCTTAATCCGTGGGTGTTTGTTTTCTTTTCTTTTTGGGGTTCTGAAAAATAATCAGTAATGAGTGCACATTAAGTTCAAGTACACCTTATTCTTGTTGTATTTTTGTAAGATAACATGTTTTCTTATGTGCCTTTACCAGAAGCCCTGTCTGGAGACCTCGCCTCCTTCCGACCTTGCTCAGTAGCCTGCATTCTTCGCCAGGGGGGATTAAATCGAATAAATGCAAATAGGGTCCCACCTAAATAGGAAAAACAAAAAGGAGAAAAAGAAAGATGAGGAACAGACTCAAAGGTCTGGAGATGGTGGCATTGGTGAAACAGAGAGATGATGGCATTATCTGAACTGATCTATTTTTAGAACAAGTCTCTTCATGCCTGCTGTCCTTGCCGCAAGTTTGTATTTCTGCTTAGCTGTAAGATTCTCTGGTGTACAGTTCTTGCACATTTCATATGGCTTTTTCCACAGTGCAGGGATTTAATTTGTGCAATTAACTCAAAACTTATGAGCTATGGTCCTTCTGGGGGGTGCATATTCAATGGCTGACTAAATGAATCAAGTCTTATCATGTTAAGTATTGATATCTAGAAAGAATTTTATTGCGATGGAATGTTTAAGAATTCCGTTTTGAGATGTCATCTAAGCAGCATACTTACTGTATTAAGATGCCAAGTATTACCATTGGATCTTATGACAATCCATTTGCTACTTGAAGCTTTGCTCTCCTCTAACTTTACTACAAAGTTAGACGTGCAGAAAGAAATACACAAACTTTCAGCAGGGAGGTCATATTAAAACCATCCTCCTGAATGGTAAAGAGTTGAAGTGGTACGGTATGTGCCCTCATCTTGCGTTATTCTGGCATTGATATCCATTTTATTTGCATTATTGCATAAGAGCAGCTTTGCTTCTCGTGGATGTCCTAGTATGACATTCGACTTCAGTCTTCTAAATATTTGGATAGCCTTCAACTCTTGCCGAGCTCGAACAAAAGGTTATCGGGATTAGGTATTATTCTTCTAATTGTTTACCACAGTATTTCAACCATATGTGTGAAAAACATATACCTACGGTTAATGAATTGAACCATAAGTATCGACGACATTAGATTTGAGTAGAGCTCGTTGTATGATAGCACAATAGATAAATTTAACAGTGGATTCACTCCTTATATTCCACCTTTCACTATTTTACTCAATCAACGGGTAGTTTTAAGTAAACAGAAGTCAGTGCATATGCTCGGTTGCATTTAATCTAAGTTTCCGAATATGAATTACCCGTAGCTTATCCTCGGATAAGTTTCTTTACCGTGCAGTAAGGTGTGTTACTTAATTATGCGAGAACCCCACAAAACCACTATTGTACTACTAGTTTACACACACAGTAAAATTGGTGGACTTACTGTCAGAAATCGGATTCAGTCCTTAAAATAGAAGGAATGTATGAGTGTGTGTTCTAGTGGGTTGCTTTGGTGGTAAGTACCCTTCACTTCCAACCAAGAGGTTGTGAGTTCGAGTCACCCCAAGAGCAAGGTGGAGAGTTTTTGGAGGGAAGGAGCCGAGGGTCCTATCGGAAACAGCCTCTCTACCCTAGGGTAGGGGTAATATCTGCTTACACACTACCCTCCTCAAACCCCACTGAAATTATATTGGGTTATTGTTATTGTATGAGTGTGCGAGTTCCTTCTCTCTTTTCTTTTCTTTTCACCTTTATATTACGGAAAGTGATGCAGTTAGTCCAGTCCACGTTTCTTCGTGCAAGAGACTGACTTTCCCAACATGTCACTTCATGTCGATCAGAAGTTACCTTTAGTTCGCAAGTCAGTCGTTGGAGTTGGGGAAACTTCCTACTGTAAAAGATAAATAGACAAGGATGAAGCTACCCGGTGGCGGAGCCAGAATTTTTGTTAAGGGGTGTCAAAATATATAAAAATAAACATACCAGGAAATTAAGTATATATACATACTATAATTTATTTTTTTACCTACTTACATAGTGTATTTTACCCGCGAAGGGGTGTTATTTGACACCCCCTACCTCCTTTCACGGCCGAAAGATTTAACAAGCAAAGAAATTTATTGGCATAATTGACACTAAAAATTGACTATTATTAACAAGGGAAGAGCAAAAAAGAGGGTTCTACATGTATGTTCCTATGCGCAAAACTAATCCTGCTTAATTTGTTGTGACACCACACTAGTTGATCTTTCGTTAGCCTTGACATGTTCAGGACCCTAGCCACTAATTTCATGTCTACTTGACAGAAAAAGTAGAGTACATGATCTGAATCCTCTTCTCTTTGCTTCCTGAACTTCCTCAATATGCAATTTCCACTTCTCAAAACATCCTGCAGCTTCTTCTCTTTCTGCATTTTTCCATAAAAATAGAGATTAAGAAGTCCATGTCATTGTAGATTCCAAATATAAGCACAGATATTTTGCGACTTAATATAATTAAGTAAATAAAAGTATTGTATCTCTAATACCTTAAGCTTTTATATAATATAATCACTATAGAAAGCATTTGTCTATGAGAAACTTAGAATCTAACCTTTTCAAGACTTTTTCTGATCTCCAGTAAAAGCTCTAGATCATCCTCTTCTTGAACCTCTGGATGAATTACCTTTTGACCTTTCGCTTTTGCCATCACACTATAGCAATCTTTATCAGCTCTGACAAAGCGCCAAAATATTCGTATTGATTCTTCCAGCATCTCCACTAGCATGTCATTTGTAATTGAATAGTCATCTTTCTCTCTTGTTCTTGCCTTGTTTCTATCTTTCACTCTGTCATCTGCATATCACTTTGTAAATTCAATACACTATAAATTTAATACACACAATATGTCACTACCTTTTATAGGAGAAGAGGTGTCCATATCTAGAGGGGGCGCAATTAATCCATTTTTTAGTAACTCGTCCAAATTTAAAGGGGTTGAGTTATGACATGTTTGTTGACTTTATCCAAGTTGAACCCAAAATTACCGCCATCAAGCTATTGGGTCAAAATGGATCAAAATAGTGTAACTCAACCAGTCAAATACAATCCAAACATACAATATCAAGTTTGGAGACCTAGAATTAGTAAAAGCTAATAATTTAAAAAAAATTAAGTTATTTTTCACTTCGTTTCTTTTCCAAAAGAAGAATAAAAAGGAGAGGTCGGGTCATGTTGGATGAGTTGGGTTATGACTGGTTACTCTTATTTTGACTCATCTCTTTTGGTAAATTGGATCACGACCCATTTTTTGATTTGACTCCTTTTGACCCGCCTAAATGTGAACAACCTACTCATTTGCCACATCTAATTGTATCACAACAAGAGGAAAAAGGAGAGCTGTCTTATCAGATACTAACCTCTTATAACAGGAACTTGAAGAAGATTACGAAGATCATATCGGCTCTTGATATAATATTGAACTCTATGCCCTTGAAAAGGTTCATTTTCTATATATCTTTGCACGAGCACTTGAAACTGTTGAAACTCTCCAGCAACTTCATTATATTTTCGGATCCCACGTGGGTCAGAGTCCCACAAATTTAAAGCCTTCATATATTGCCAGTGCAGAAATTCCCAAGAAAGGCACATCTGTCCAACGTATACCACTTCCAAATCACTCTGCAATTCTTTGATAAACTTTACCATTGGGTCAATGTCGTCATGATTTTTATGTTTGAATAGCCTAATGTTTTGTGAGACAAGGGATTTTAGTGTTGGACCTGAAGATTTCTGGTTGAAGAGTAATTGCAATGGATCTTTTTGCGGATCTTTCTGCAAATAACCTGTAAAAACATGTTGGATTAGAGCCACATTTTGAAAAGATCCTTTTAAACTATTAATGTTTAAAACAAATTAGCTACCACATACTTTGTGAGAAACCAAATTCAAAGCTCGTGATTTTGAATAAACAATTTCAAGTGAACGATTTTCCAAGAAGCAACAAGGAATTTTGCGAAGCAACTAGATGGACATTTTTTAGGGAAGAAAACTATGATACGCTACGTGAGCAGTGGCGGAGCCAACTCATGCGAAGGGGTGTCAAAAATTTATTTTAATGTATATATAGTACTATAAGTTGACTACCCTTATTATTTGTTTAGTTAGAGAGTGTTTGGCTAATCTTATAAGCTGGTCACACTAGCTTATAACTACCTTTTGACTTCGTTTAGTAAACATCCAAAATGCCTATAAGTTAAAATCAGTCTTAAGTCATAAGTTGGTCACCCCCACCTTATGGTTTTTTAGCTTATAAGCACTTTTAGTTTGACCAAGTTTTTACTAGTTTATCCTTAATAAAAATTTTTAATCCACAATTTTTTTTAAAATAAATTTTCTAACTTTCTCTTCAATCATATTGTTGTTCATCCTTTTCTTTACAAAGTTTTTTTTTCATTTATAATCTTTTGTAAAGTTTTAAAGGGTATTTTAGTCATTTTAACAAAATAACAGCTTATCAGCATTTTTTTTACTAAACACATCAACTGTTTATTATCACTTTCAGCACGTCTATCCAAACACGTAAATGCTTATTTAAAAAATCAGTTTCAGCACTTAAAAATGGTTTTCAGCACTTCAAGCTTATCAACTATCTACAATCAACTAATTCAAATGGGTTTTTATTTATATTTTGACACCCTGGCACGTAAGCAGTCAATACTAACTAATTCAATAAATTTCTAGGTCAAGATCACATCTTAGACAAATTGTTTGTTGTTGGCCAACAAAGGTATGGGTATGAACTATATGAAAGTATAAAACGTACAACTTTCCAGATATGGTCATACACAAATGGTCGGCATAGGCTATTTTATATTTTTTTACTTGTGTATTCTGTTTACACAGCTTCACAAGAAAGAAACGTGTACATACTTCTAGCAAGTGCAGTATACTGTATATAATAAGGACATCTTGTTGTGTAATCTTCCTCTAGTTCCTGTGAATGGTCCTTAACTAGTGTGTGTTTAAACAACATTTTGACCTATTCAAATTGTATAAACATTAAAAAAATGTAGAAAGTGTATGAGTGTATCATTATCTAACCTTTTGTTTTTCACATGGACAAAAACATAAAATAGGAGAAAGGTAGTAGTAAGCCTTTTCACTGGGGCCGACCTCTGTTCCTTACATCATGAATCCAATGCATTGCATTTCATGTTACTATTATGAATTTCAGGAGCCCCAGCAAACTAGATCTTGTGGGTCCAATGTTAAACTTTAGAAATAATTAAAGTCGAGCCACTTTATTCTTTTTACTCGAATACTAATTAATCCTGGTGCGCCCGTTAAGAAAAGACTAACATAATGACGCAAAGATGGCCTATTGAAAAAAATAGTTTAACATTTATGCGCTAATATAGTTAGTACTATGTATAAAAAAGATATTACGTAGTTAGAGTTGTGACTAACCTATTGCATACATCTTCTGGTATGTCAAAATGTCAAATTTGCGCATTCTTTCTCTGTAACTCTTGTAGAATTTGTGTAGTTCGCTCATGCAATCTTCACGGTGAAGCATTTCATCAATTTTCCATGGTTGTAATTCGTCCATTGTTGGAGACTCAGATTCTTCCAAAATAGTAGGCAAACCCGTGGCTCTGACTTTTCTAATTTC